CAAGGCTGTTGGAGTGCGCATCCAAGATGTGCTAGAGCTGTGTCGTGCAATGCTATCGCATGAGCTGATTGTTTAGTAACTGGTGGTGTTAGTGGACAGTATAGCGTAACTTGTAGTTCCTTGGTCTTTCTCTTTTGTATAAACAAACTAGTAAGCTAACGATAAACTAGCTACACTGAGACAATTCGACTGGCACAAGTTACAACAAAATCACATGCAAAAAGTCCTTTCACTTTTACTACTGCTCGTTGTGTGACAACCACCATCATCAGTGTGCGCATTGCGCCTGGTTTGGTGCATGCCTGGTGGAATATGACATAGCGGCTGATGCAGTGGGCACGTCAGGTAACACCTAACGCATTGAAAATGACTCAACTATGACTTGGTTCGATTGCAACAAACCTAATGATAGTGGTACCGAAACATTCGGGTAACCGGAGTAAGTGCCAATTGATATTTTTGGCTCCAGTCAGTCAAGTGATTCAATTGCAATACAATTATATACGTACGGTGGAACTCACTTAGTACGTACCCGGGTAAGACATACACCTGCATAACACAGTCCTCTTTTGTCGCACGGATTTTCCTCTCATAAGCGCATATTCAGATGTGTACGGATACGACTGCTTCCTTCTGTTCATGTGATTCATTGTCGCTGTGTTACTGTATGCAGATCTCACTCAGCTCTGCTCTCCGAGCATTCTGCTTCCAACACGACTTCCCGAAAGGTATGTATGGTGGCTAATAAATTAATGCGAGCGTCTTTACAGATTCCAGTGCTCTCATGCCTTTTGGAAGTTCCGTTTGTAAGTCAAATGGAACATGGTTTGTGGTCAATACTTCAGCAGTAGTGGTGCGAGAATATTCGGGTGTCAAATTGCTCGGAATTGATGTATGATAACGGAGAATATACCAACATGTGAATCACTTGGAGATATGGTTTGCCAGGTTCTGTTCACACTCACTAGGCTAGACCCTCTCGAATATTGTACAACAGTTTTGGCCCAGGAGTGGTAAAGGGCACGGGGCAAGCTATGTCGGGACCTGCTGTAAAGTCCGCCATACACGAGCTGTACGTCTTATCGGATGGGATTTACCCCTGATATTGCTGATAATGAATGGCCCAGTTTCATTGTACTGCTGTCCGCGATATTATATCCTTAGTGGCATTGTTAACTTCTCATTGCTTGTGGGGACGCATGGATCATACGTCCATCCAACACCTGCCAATCGGAACCCACTGACAACGCTGTCGGTTGGGTTGGACCACAATCGGTTGGTTTTTGAGTCCAAGATGCCGCCTAGGTAGCACACAGCATTGCTAATCTGATTTTAAATTAGCTGCGCAAATCCTGGCATACTGCCCGTAAATGCATCTAACTCCCAGGGTACTTATGAGTTTTTAGGTCTATGTGGTACTTGTGTCGCATTGGCAGCCACTGTTCCGTTCTGTATTTTCTGGTGTATGTGTCGTTGAATCTCCACAGAAAATGTGCTCGCGCATTAGAAGGAGGTGAAAGATGCACCTGCAGGAGAATACATGCTTGATGCTGGCAAGTCAACAGAGGCGAGTACTGATAATGTTCCAGATTGTGGTAGGATCACATAAGCAAAATTGACACTGGGAGGCACGGCGGTGGGTCAGCTCATGGCCAGCGCCAGCTCCAGTGGATATCACGTGCATCCAGTTCTAGTACTATAGTATGACTGCTACAAAGTAGTGTGGCCCAAATAGAACTCGGGTCAGGTGCCGAAGAACTGGGGGGGGGGGGCATGTGTCAATGAATGGTAATAACTCCGGAAATCATGCTGGTGTATCGAGGGCGTGGGCCAATGAAGTGCTGGATTGATGGTGGACGACTGTACTGCAATCTTGGCTGGTCCCACTATCGCAGAGACAGCACTTCCTGGTGCAACCACCCTATCCTGCAATCTATATAATAATTATTATAAGAGATTTGTGTGAACGATTTTAGCATGATGCAAGTCAGCTTATTGTGCTGGGGGCCTGGCTACATGTCACTATAGCTTTTTATAGACTCGATCACCGCATTACGCTGCCTTGCGTTGACTTGATTGAGCACTCTTTTTGGTTAGTGTCAAAGGTATATGTAATATGTGTCTGCCTTCGTGCAAAGCTCTCTTTGTGCATGTCTTGCAGATAGCTCGCTGACTTTGATGCTTTGAGCCATTTTCAAATTGCTTTTTTGTTCATTTCATATAGACCGTATTGCCATTTGTTTAACCTCCCGCTCTGAGCTCCACTGATGGGACCTAAAAAGGCTGAAACAGCTGTCTGGAGATTGAGCGTCAGTATTATGGATTTAGAATACACGATCTGGGGACAGCACTAGTACTGTCTAGCTGTTTCGTCCTTTGTGGACTCATCAGCGAATCACGGAGAAATAACTCTTAAAGGGGAAGTTAAGGCAAAAATTAAAATTTCACCAGTTGTAGTCTTCGGGGTGCTGAGTCGAATGGTCGTGGTCCGAGGAAGCTGAGACGCTCCCTTCCTACTTGAATCCCAATCGAACTCGCGCACTTCCACCGAAACTGGGTGACTGCGCCCTACTAGATGGGGATTTGTATGCAAAATGTCACTAAAAGCGCCATTTCGTTCTTATAAAAGCATGGATGACCGCGATTGGCCCATATGTTGTAGTCTTTTGGACGCTGAGTCGATTGGTTGTGGTCCGAAAAGGCTGCGATGCAGCGTTCCTCCTTTATTCCCAATCGAACATGGTTGAACAAGCGGTCACGTGCTCCTGCGTACACCAGTCACCTGGTCACCGTGCCTGCAGGGTACAACTTACTAGCCTGTTTGACCTTTTTTGGGTGCAGTCCTGTCACTCGAGTTGAACCTTGGTGTGAAAGTTGTCGCCTACTGGCGTGGTGACCAGGTGATTTGGGCACCCAGGAGCACGTGACCGCTTGTTCAACCATGTTCAATTGGGAATAAAGGAGGAACGCTGCATCGCAGCCTTTTCGGACCAAAACCAGTCGACTCAGCGTCCAAAAGACTACAACATATGGGCCAATCGCGGTCATCCGTGCTTTTATAAGAACGAAATGGCGCTTTTAGTGACATTTTGCATACATTTTGCATACAAATCCCCATCTAGTAGGACGCAGTCACCCAGTTTCGGTGGAAGTGCGCGAGTTCGATTGGGATTCGAGTAGGAAGGGAGCGTCTCAGCTTTCTCGGACCAAGACCATTCGACTCAGCACCCCGAAGACTACAACTGGTGAAATTTTAATTTTTGCCTTAACTTCCCCTTTAACTAAGGATGAACCTAGCAGCCATGAAAATAGATAAATAATGCCTCCAAGCCAGAATTCAAGGCTACATGTGTAGGCCCGAATGTGCCTTGCCCGAGTGCTGAAACTGATAAGTCATTGAGATACGCATAGAACATCTGGCAAAGGAACTACTAAAGCCCCCACAAGCACGGTATTCTACTTCAACAAGGAAGAATTTTGAAAGCATGCACAGCCCTACATGTATAATGTTGGTATAGGTAAGCCTTGTTTGATAAATAATAACATGACAAGGCGGGGGACGCACTGTGTTAAAAAACAGTGCTCCTGATACACTAGTGTGTCCTCGGCTTTGTCATATGCTGTCAACCGATCAACACATACAACGTTGCATGCAAAACGGCTGCAGCCTCGAAGTACGGAGTGCTATTTTGGAAAATGCTAGATATACAGCCTGTACTTATACAGGTGTTCTATCAACTAGTGCCATTATGACAACGGTAGCTGAATGATACATGTACATAAACCCGGGGTCATCATTGCAAGAACTCTGGGTCTAAGCCCGAAGTAACATTCAACTACATGACTGTATACACCATCATGTATACACCATCTTCGTAGTAACTGAGTCTACCCCTCACCCACTACTGCCACTGTGACCACAATTGCGCACAAACAGAGGACCTTAGAGGACCTACTTCTAACTACAGTGCTGGCCAAAGAAATCCAACCTTATGAATAAAATTGCACCGGGCGCTACGCAGCCCTAGTAGTAAACATACTGGACCGGTCTGTGCTCTCGAACGCGGCGCTACTTTATTATCGAGGTTGGATTTCTCTGGCCAGCACTGTACAAAATACACACATGCACACACACAACACTGCTAGGCTTTCCACCACACTAGGTTTTGAAACCGAAGAGTGGCAAAATTCAGGGCCAGACTAGAAAATCTGGGGAGACCTGATGGTTTTTTTAAAGCAAAACACAGCCAACACTCTGCAGCCTCACAGCCTCAGGCAGGTTTTCCCGAGTGCACAAAATTAAAAGTTGTTGAGGCACCACGAATACAGTCGAGCGTCACAGAACGTGGGACCCAGGAATGTACGTGTATACCTCTAGGAACACCACAGCCAATAACGTTTTAAAAAGAAACGCAGTGTCAATAGACTCAAGTCTCTGCTTTTCTGGAATACAGATTCTGCTACACACGTATTGCTCACTGTCCAGTGGGATGTGCATCTAAGAAAGTGGTACAAGAAGTCAAGGAACTAAGCCTAAGGCCAGATTGCTGAAAGGTTTTGTATAACTGACGAGCCTGACCCCTTGGAAACAACAGCCGTGGATGCGTGGCTCTACTGTAATACATGTACAGGTACACAAACAATTTGAATGCAGAAATAACAACAACAAACAGGGAGAGGTGTAGGAAAATATACTCGGCCCCTAGTGAATTTGCTTGTGTATTAGCTTGAAAACTTTGGGTACACTTGTTGAGAGACCTAACTGCATGCAGCTAAAATATGGAGTGCCGTTGTCACCGACGACTTTTCCAGTAAAGTTGCGGCTAACATCTTCTCAGGTATTCCCGGGTCTTCGCTAAGGCCGTAAGGGTGAATGATATCATGTGCGTCTTCTATTGCTGATGTCGCTACACTCGATGGTGGTGCTGATGTACTGATTGTGGTGGAAGATATTGAGATGCCGTATGTCTCGAACCTTTTCGCCAAGTCTCCGCGGCCATCGCGCAAGAGGGTCGGGAGCACCACAACTGCAACGCCACAGATCCAAGGATCGATTCTCGGACAAAACATTCTTCAGATTGCCAAAGGTCCCCAGTGCTTGGCAATACTGGCCTGTACAGCATGAACACACCACACATACGCCCACACACCATGCACCATGTAAACGCCCGTTGCAGGAGAAGCACGCAAATCTGAAAATGAATTGGATGTGCACCCACAGATTTTCTCGTATAGGAACAATAGCTGATCTGAATCTGAATAAAACAGATCAAGACTAGTGCCAGATAACAGTCTAATACGCACAAGGCAACTGGCGCAGCCATGTGAATCTCGAGCAAAATGGACAAACATGTCCCCAATTATCAGCAAACGGGTGTGCGTTACAGGATTGGCCTGGCAACTTCAAACAGGCACAATCCACTAACGTGGTGCCCCGTCAACTTCAACGGGAACACACCGATACAAACACAGCCCCACAACAGCAAAACGGGAACGCCGTTACAAATATGGTGCCCTGGCAACTTAACGGGAACGCACCAACACAAGCTGGCCTGGCACCTTCAAACAGGCACAACTGACAAAACACGGCATGCGGCAACAGCAAATGGGTAGGTACACCGTTACAAGAACAGTCCATCGCACCAAAATGCTGCTGCCACAACAGTATAGCAGCAGCACGCCAGACATGCATACATGGCATTCCCAAAAGCAGATACCTGGAGTCAAATTCATCCATCACACTGTTTGTTAGGGCTGAATTTTACAGTGACAATAGCAAATCCCACCTAAGGCACATGTGATGAGATCTGTACACCAACTACCGTAAAAGTCCGTAAATAAGTACGTATTTACTTTCGAATTTAGTGACCACACCCGTACTAACTTTCGGGCCGGTACTGACTTTCGGGCACGAACTAACTTTCGGACTTGACTTGTGTGTAGTGGGGAAGTCATTTTCATGTCGGCGTACATGCTACGTGCTGCATGTGCGCATCGTACCGGTACTTATTTCGGGCAGTATGTTTATCGGGCTTGACTTGACTTCAACATACAGAGCCAAAAGAATGAAGGGGGTATAGTCACAGAATCAATGCACATTAGTAGAGCATAAGAACTCACTTGCGCTCATACCCTGTCACGTAGAGATGCTACTCTACGTGTACTGTTCCGATGTCCATTGGGGTGGTATGCCGGCCACTTGCCAGATGTAGAGCTTTTAAGCCGTACTTTGCCACCGTCTGCTTGCCGTATCACCACCTCACTTGCAACTCTGGATTCCAGGACTGTCGCTCCAACAATGGGCATGGAGCGGGAGCTAACCTGATAACAGTTGAGAGCGTGACAGAGTACCTTATTTAAATAAGGCCGAGTAAGGTGGATCCCTTTGGCAAAAGTGAACACAGGCTTGGTGCTACAGGCATGGGCTGTCATGTACCGGAATAGCCAATACCGGGCATGTTTCGTCGACAGTAGATGGAACTGCGACGGCTCCACCGTATTTGGCCGCGTCTTAGTGACCTTCAGGCGCAACGTGACCAAGTCAGGTGCGAGACTCCCAGCCTCCCACACAAATACTCTTTGGCTGTCAAACGAGTGAATACTAGTAGATGATGCTAAATACTCGCTGGCAAACAATAAGCCATACAAGGCCAGTAGTATACTTGCCCACAGCATAGCCTGATCTACAATATGACTGATTGGATCATTGTAAGTATTGCCGAAAATGTATTGCCGAAAATGGATTAAGTCGTCCACTAAATAATAATAATATTCGCGGGATCCGCGTCGGCATCGCTTGAATGTTCAGAAACACACAAACTAGCCTTCGCATCCGCAGGCCACCACTATGCCTGTTAACCTTAGTGGCGAATGCAGACCTCACAAGTGAGTCAGGGGAGAGGAGGTTAGTCTCTCAACCAATCGACCCCCACTAAAAGCTCTTTGAAACTCGGATGTTGAGCCAATATGGCAATAATAAAATTAATGTAGAAAGGAAAAGGACGTATGGATATGAGTGTAGAGTAACTGTCACTATATACTAAATACAGTCAGAAAGTGCAACAACCAGGCACTAAAACATTTGACGATCCGACTCCTGGCTTCAACACATCTCCGTAGTGTTAAGGAGAGACCAAAGAGGGAAAGGTAATACTGGTTTCGTCATCGTCCAGTAACAATCAACATTTCTTGTTCTTGTGGGACTGTAGCTTCAACTACTAGCTTGTGCTCATTTTCGTTGCGCTTACCTTCCCCTCTTTGGTCTCTCCTTTTAACCTTGAACCTTCCAAGTTGGAAGGCTGTTGGTTAGCGCTACGGAGATGTGTTGAAGCTAGGAGTCAGGTCGTCGAATGTCTCAGCACTCTGTCAGTTTTGTGCCTAGTTGTTGCATTTTTTTACTGTAGTAGCTAGTTACAGTGGTGGACAGTTACTCTTAACTCGTATCCATATGTCCTTTTCCTTTCTAATAAAAGCTCTATCCGCAAATATGCCGAGGCGGCTTGCCGTCTCTCCCTCTATGCCATGCAACACAACTGTTGAGCGAGCAGCTTTTAGGCCAGCCCCATTGCACAACAGGTAATAGGCTACTAATAGCGTAACGCAGCTAGGTAAACACGAATCGATGAAAGAGGCAGACTTCTTAGAACAAAGAGACTAGTTGTGAAGGACACAACATTTTCAGCAGTCAGCAGTAGGAGAAATTGCTCTTAATTATGCAGCAATACTAGGCTTACACGTTTGTGTCATGCGTTCTGAGACGGAGTCCTTGACTAGCTCGTCACTGGCCGCACTCAGAGCAGCAGTCGTCACTACACATGGGTTGGGAAGCAATGGACAAAATTAACACTTGCCATGCACACATGCACTGCTTACCAACTAAGTTAATATGTCATACTGTACTGCAGCAAGCAAGGAACTGGCAATACCTGCACCAGGCCTATCTACTGTGACCCATGCCATTGTGAATGAGAAGAGGCAGCATTTGACAGTATGAGCGGTGTGATGAACGGGAATGCATAATACAAGCCAGTCGAGCATTGGTGCATGTACTTACGGACGCAAGTTGGCTGCACACCGCTCCACTGGCCGTTGATTTCACAAGTACGCACGGCCGAGCCCATAAGGACATAGGGAGATGTGCACACAAACGTGGTCGTGTTGCTGAACATCAAGCCGTTCACGGTCATTGAGCCCAGTGCCGGTGGTGACAGGACCTGGCAGTCGGTTTGACCTGCACAAGCACAGAGCACAGAAGCACAGGCATTCAGTGCATGCATGTTTGGCCTAGGGGTGAAACGAGTGCCAAAATTGAGGACTCGAGTACTCTTTGAAAAAACGAGCGAGGTAGACAATCATAGAGTTCTGGCAGGACTTTATGGCTGAATCAAGGCCGAGTGCATACGGCCAAGGGTGCAGGCCAAGGTGCGTAGCGCCGAGGCCTGCGCCCGCGGCCGTGCGCACGAGGCCTTGATGAAGGCGGAAAGTCCTGCCAGAACTCTATGATCGTGTTTCAGGTTTCCACTTACATCCTTTGAGCCGCGTAGACGGTATAACTATAATCGCGATACCACATAGGGGTGGAGGTTGGGGACGTGGTGGCTAGACCTGTTGCCTTTTTTCTTTGCTCAATGCTCAAGAACAAGTAGGTTAGTCGGGGACGTGGTGGCTACACTATCACTCCAATGCTGACACGCGATGATCTTATCAATTTTCGCTTACATCAGTACATGAAGGCCTCGTACGCGCCTTGGCCAGCGCCCGGGCCTGCCTGGCCGTACGCTCATCGGAGTCATGGTCATGTTTTCACTGGCATTCTTTGAAACTGTATATAAGCGCGATACCACCTAGGGGTGGAGGTCGGGGACGTGGTGGCTGGATCTATCGCTTTTTAGAAGAAGTAGTTGCAGAATTGCCAAAGCTCATGCGTACGGCCGCGGGCGCAGGCCTCGGCGCTACGCGCCTTGGCCTGCGCCCTTGGCCTTGATTCATGGTCAGGTTTCACTTGCGAACTGTATATAAGCGCGACACCACCTAGGGGTGGAGGTCGGGGACGTGGTGGACGGATCTCTTGCCATTTTTTCCAATTATTTACTCCTCAGGTTAAGTCGTCCTTTGATGCCCGTACTCGTAGACTGTATATAAGCAGGTCGGGGACGTGGTGGCCAGATCTCTTGCCATTTTTCCCTTGGCCTCGAAGAAGAAGAATGTTTTGAATTGTTTTCAGGTTGTAGCTGTTTAGTTTTGTCACTCCTTTACTGACACGCGTACAAACCTGTTGTCAACATCGCCATTAGCTTGTAGAATACTGGATTGCTTACTACATGTAGCCACCTTTGCTACCTTACATCATAGTACTTGTATGTTTATTACATCAATGAACAGAACTGAGCATGAGGTCATGTCTACAGGCATGCCCAATCTACATGATTGTAGACCTGGTTTCAACCATGTACATGACTGTACTTACTCTACTCTCCTCCAAAGCCAAGGACGGCAAGGTCCTGAGATGAACTGAGATGGCAACAGAAAACTGACGCAGACCCCTGACTGTAGAGCTAGGCTGACAGCGTACGGGCCTTTATCGGCTCATCAAGGCCACCGCGGGAACGTCGCTCATTGGCTACAACCATGGAAACGGCACTGTAAAAACCTGAATATTCGAGCGAGTACGAGTATTTTACTGACAACATAAAACAATGTACTGCACACACTCTCGTAACACTGAACGTATTACACCTGATACACATGTAGTCTTGCATGCAGCCTAGTGCAGGAAATAGTCTGAACTACGTCTTTTGTTGGTAAGTAGGGACAAGTAATAATTTCACACTTGCATGGGTTATCAGTACTGGTCAGAGTAACAGACGTGCTTGATGTACAAGCATACAGTACACTGTGCATAAGATACTTTGAGTATTTTGCGAAGCGAGTCCTCACTCCTTTCGAATTTTCGAGCAAGCGCTCGAGTATTCGATATACTCGTTTCATCCCTAAAACGTTTGCGTATGTGTGCGTGGCACAGACGTTGGTTTTGAATACATTGTAGTACACGCATTGTGTAAAGGAAATTGATGCGAAGACTGCCTCAACATGGCCATGCAAAGTAATAAAATAAATACAGCAGTGAATAGCGGTCAACAGTAGCTCCACATTTTGCTTGTAATAGAAGTCATTAGCGTCAGAGCAAGAAGAGGGACAAGACGAGTCAAGGGACAATCCGGAGGACGCAATACCATACGACCAACTGTTTGTTTCTACCAGCGTTATTGTACCGTCGACACAGCTCTGACGACGATATACTGGGCGAATGCCGCGGGGCCTCCCAGCGTGTCAGCGGCAGTGGGTGATGGGCAGATAACAAGGTAGCTTGCGGACAACATCGGTGGCATGAAGCCTAGTGACTGCCAAGCGTCTTGGCGCGACGGGCGAGCAGTACAGTGTCATGCCCCAGGGGCTGCTGTGGCTGTCGACGTCGGCGGGTCGTGAGGTGCGTTCGCAGGCCTTCATGGCGCTCGGACAACTGCAATACTAGTACACAGACTCTCACTACTAGCTACATAGTACTCTGATTCTGGCACGTTATTTCTGCATTGAATAGTGATTGATTTTCCGCGCTGAATATCCGACGCTGCATGCATGTCCAATGCGCGTCAACAGTACTTCACACTTTCCTTTTCCCGCGTTATCACCTCAGCTATGCCAGTTTTGTATGTGGAAACCCCCTATATAATAGCAGTTTGGTCTATATTTTTAATCATTCAATATCTACCTTCACTGATGAGCTATGTATTAGCGAAACAGCTGTCTGAAGGAGTTTATCAATATCGTCTACGGAAGTGTCCTCGCAATGGTGATGGTTGTGTGCAGGAGGGTCTAGTCGGCTAAAGAGCGCAGTGTGGTGGTGGAGGTGACTCAACATTTTCTTCAATGGCCGAGAGCTCTGTCGCACCCTGTAATAATAATAGAAGTCATGGTACTACTATCAGTGCTGCTGCTGGTGCTTACCTGGAGCTGGTGTGACCTTGCCTGGGCAGTACTGTGCATCAGAGCCATCAGCACAGTCGTACCAAACACCGTCGCAGCGCTGTGATGGCAGGATACAGCCACTGGAACGCAGGCAGGGCGGGTAGCCAGACTGGCACTGCAGTTGAATGGCTGGATACACGTACCCATACACACAACACACAAAGCAGTCAAGAGATGAAGAAAGTGTCTGCTCGGCACATCTTTTGTACAGTCAAGAGATATTAGCATATTTGGAGGAGGTCGTAGCCTAAAACAGGCTCGACAAAAGTTACCGGCTTATGCCAACAACTCAGTGTTCTGGTAGAGTAGACGGTTCGATACCGGAACGCCTTGACATCCAAATTTGTATAGACCCAAACCGATCATCAGCGTTGATTTTTCACTCGAAATATGTTTGTGGAAGGAAACTGGCACGTTGAAGTTTGCTCTGGGGCCAGAGTCAATCGAACTGAGCCACTCCTTTGTGTTGACCCATTGCCTCCAAGTTGCCCAATTTTTCGCTTCAAAAAAGTTCAAATCAGAGGTGGCTCCAAACCGGACACGTTTTAGAGTGCACGTCAAATTCACTCTGGGTCTGAAATTAGGTAATTGCTATCGCTCCACGACGGCCAGTACAGAGTACAAAAAGCCTTGTGTGTGCTTCCATTAGTTTTGATTGGTATGCGGTGCTTTATTGGCAAGAGGCGAGCCGCTGTTTACCTGCGACAAGAAGTTGATTTTTCGAAAGTCGTAAAACTCAAGTCGCAGTGCGAAGCAACACGTCAAAAACTCACCTGCTTGGTATGGCGCGTCTGGTCATCGCAGAGCCATGAAATTTTGGCTCGGAGTATAACACATCGTAGTCTCACTGTGACATATGTTTTCTAATCAAAATACCAAGAGAGAAAGTGAATATTGAGTCCGTTCCGGTTTGCAACCTGTGTCCTATTTGAAACCGTCGTCTCTACCCGGTGAAACACCCTAACCATACACCTACAAGTATAACATATATCCTAAGGACTCAGGCTGAGATGCCCGACTGGTCCTGGGTCCTGTGATAAGCACGATCATCATTTGTGATGATGAAAAGTGGCAGGTAACACCCAGACTATTACATGCTCTGTAAATAGGAAAGATCAACGCCACCAGAATCTGCCTTCCTACAAGCCTGAAGCTTCTCTACACAAGAGGGATATATTGGCTCTCTTGAAATTCAACTTACGATTACATGAGGCAGCTGCCCCACTCCAGGAACCGTCAATCTGGCAGATGCGCACAATGCTTCCCTGCATGTTGTATCCGGAATTTCAGCCGAAGACGACGCTGCCTCCAGCAGAATAGTTTGTGCCCTGGGAGTAGCCGTTGGTCGGTTTAGCTAGCGGTGTGCACACACCGGCTGTACACGTCACAGGCACGTACACACACACGCACGTACACACACACGCACACACACACACACACACACACACCTTGACCTTGATACACAAGGATTCTTCATTATTTGCCACGTTTGAGCTGAGCTGCGATCATCGCGCTTTGTTGCAGTGTGCTAAAAAAACAAGAACAAAAAACGGCCAAAAAAGTGGGGCGGCTGAGGCCGCCCCAGCCACCCCAGCTGTGCCGGCCTTGCATGCCTGGTGCACGGTCTGAAAGATGAAAGATGGAGCTCTTGTATACACGGGCCCGGAAAGTCTGCTTCGCCTGCTCGGCAGCAGCTTCGTAGTGGTGGTCAAGGGTCGAAGACCGACGGATACGGATCAACTCCCCAGTGATCACACCTTTACCCATACTACGGGGGTGGTTACTACCGGCAAGCAGATACAGGAAACGATTGGTGACCTTGAAATGAGGCTTCACCGCCATGTATCCCTTACTACGGAAAACTGTGGTGTCCAGGAAATCAATGCCATCATGTGCCAGTTCATGCGCAAACTCGAGGGCCGAACACGTATTAATCCTGTCTAAAGCGCGCTGAACTTGACCTTCGCAACCATGCAATGAAACAAAAATGTCACTGATAAAGCGTCTATAAACCTGAACCTCTAAACCCTCCCCCTCTAAGATCGGCAAAATGTACCGATTCTCCAAATACAGCATAACAATGTCGGCATAGACATCTGCTGCAGGCAAACCCATGGCAGTCCCTTGGATTTGCGGAAACAAATCGTTATCGTACACGAACCCGTTAGTCTTCCGAATGACTGACATCAAGGAAGTCACTGCTGTTGTTAACCGTGTACGAAGGGCCGGGGGCATCCACCTTGTATACCTGTGTATGATATATCACGACAATGCCACGTGACCGAGCTCGTTGGGGATGTTGGTGTAAAGGCTGGTCACATCTATACTCAAAAAAAATGATCGTCCCGCACAGGCAAACCTTCTACCAAGTTGATGAAATCCGTAGTTCAGGCCAGAACAGTACTTTCCTCACGTACATACAGGTTCAGTAGAAAGTCAATGAACTTAGCGGGATAGTAGCCAGGACTATTCAGACTAACAAAAGGGCACAGGGCTTATGTGTTTTGATAAGTCTCCTGAAAACGGGCATGCGCCCCCGGTGCGACTAACAGTGACATATAAAATGGTCATACGATGCCCAATGCGATGCCTAGTCATGGTGAGTAAACAATTGACTCGGGTCGCAAACACGAAGTCTCAACACAGCCTTGAGCCTGTTGGTTGCCATCGGCAGTCTAGCCACATGTTCATCTAGCCCCTCAGGAAAAAAAAACAGTCATTTACAATGTTGGGCATTGTGATGCTGGGCACGACCTATATCATCATAGTGAGATCCGTCCAGGACTACTATCACAATAGACTGCCTTTGAATATGCCCGAGTCTGATCGCGTTCTAATTCCCAAACTATGTGCTGCATGTGTACACTCCGCCCATGGTTAGTCTACTCCAGAACAACGCCTGGAGAGGTTCATTGGGGGCATGATGTCCCCCACCCCATCCCCCTTGCCCCCTGCACCTGAAGTACCGGTATTGCCCCTCCCCCCCCCCAAGTAAAGTACAGGACACAGATGGAGCACTGGGGAGCATGTAGCAGTAGGCAAGTTGACGATGCCAGTGCAGACACACCTCACCTCGGTCACCACACTGGCACAGTCATATGGTCTCCAAGGAACATAGCTACCAGAGAACACACAGAATGGGAGTATATAGTGCTATCCCGGAGGATAGACAACCTCCTATACAAAAATACCTACTGATAGAGTTCTGTGTAGACCCTATGTGCAAATGTCTGTGGATGAGTACTGGTAAACGGACAGCTAACCCTAGTCTAAGTAAAATAAATGTAAAATGTAGACCCTGGGCAAAAAAATAAGTAAATAAAAATAATAGCAACACATGAGGGAACTCGGATGGAGAGCCAAGGATCAAAATTAAAAAAAAGAGGACCATAAGTTTACGAGTTATCCGTTTTTTCCAACACTAACGGGTATAAACGTGATGCAGCTAAGCATCAAGTCGTTGAATGTCATGATCTCATCAGTCAGTTTTTGTGCTGATTGTTGCACATTTTTGACTCAGCAGTATTCTGCATATAACCGTTAGTGTTGGACAAAACGGATAACTTGTAAACATGAGGGAACACTCATCCTTACCCAAGTCCCAACGTCAGCACTCGGCGCCGCTCCGAACCAAGAGGAACATTGGAGAGATCGTCCATCAGCTCCTCTCTCGTCCTGCGATCAAATCGCCTAATGCTAAAACACAAGAAGATAGGAAAGGCAAGTAGAATAAATAAATCAATAAAATAATAAACAACAATACAAGTTTGAACAGCTGCAAACGTAATGGACGATCCGAACAAGACCAATGATATACCTAGAAATTCTAGAAGGCACTAGGAAACATCCATACCTGCTCAAACTGAAGAGGACAACATAGAAAAAGGTAAAAGAGGGCACTACTCAAGTGTTCCTGGGATAGCTATGGTCTTTGCTATGCTATTGATTTGTAGTCTGATTCATCTGAAAAACGAA